CCTCTATAAGTAGTCTTCACAAACCCTTCCTCTATAAGTAGTCTTCACAAACCCTTCCTCTATAAGTAGTCTTCACAAACCCTTCCTCTATAAGTAGTCTTCACAAACCCTTCCTCTATAAGTAGTCTTCACAAACCCTTCCTCTATAAGTAGTCTTCACAAACCCTTCCTCTATAAGCAATGTTTAAAATGCGACGACAGCCCAATCGAACAGCGAACGTCTGGAGGAAAAACGACGTGTCCCCAAAATCATTGTTCTATTTAATCTCTAAAAACATTCTGAAATGAGATGTTTCAAAACGATAAACACACAAACAACTCAATTCTGAAGAAAACGCTGTTATAGTTATGACGAATTTTGACCTCAAGAAACACCGCAAATGTGTATAACGTTGATATGAAAGTGTAACCAACGAAACCACTGTTAACAGACAACTAAACCACAGTACGCAGACAAAAAGCATGATAAACAGACAACTAAAACACAGTACGCAGTCAATAAAACCACGGAAAAAAAAAGACATCTAAAATACAGTAAACAAACAACTAAGACAGGGTACGGAATTAAAAAAATACTACGTTATAGAGACAACAAAATCACGGTAAATTAACATTTAAAATACAGTAAACAGACAACTAAGACAGGGTAAGCAGTCAACAAAACCACGGTACGCAGACAACTAAACAATGAACAAAACATTTTACACCCTGTCACTTTTACAGGAATATAAAAACGTAAAAATATATAATACACACGTTCTCTGTCCTAATCAATATTTATCTTTTGATCACAGCAATCTAACCTCACAGACCAGAAGTGAGATATCTTAGAAAACAATGTACATAATTCAAAACACAGGTGTAACAAGAAATGTGTGACGTCATAGACCAGAAGTGAGATATCTTAGAAAATAATGTACATAATTCAAAACACAGGTGTAACAAGAAATGTGTGACGTCATAGACCAGAAGTGAGATATCTTAGAAAATAATGTACATAATTCAAAACACAGGTGTAACAAGAAATGTGTGACGTCATAGACCAGAAGTGAGATATCTTAGAAAATAACATACCTAATTCTATATACAGGTGTAACAAGAAATGTGACGTCATAGAACAAATAAGAAAAAACTTAAAATGATCAGAATGCACCGATTCTGCTTGTCCACGCAATTTTTATTTTTGGCCATAATCCTACTAATATCCCACGACTTTCGTTCATCGTAGGACATTTAGGTTAATACTTTTTCGACGTACTATGCTAGGAATGACGAAAAATAAACTATATATGGGTTTGTATGTATTATAAATATCAAAACCAGTATTACTAAAAAAAATTCACTTCAAACAAAGAATGGAATACAATTTTATTTACAAGATACATAAAAACTAAAACAGGTGTTGGTGAAAATCCACAATAAATGGAAGAAATGATTAGAAAACTTGAAATTAGGGAAACAATTTTTCAGTTCATCCTCTTGAGTCTCATGAGAAAACGGTGGAATACAGAGGAGGACACACTGAAAAACCAGTTTCTATAATTTGAAATCTTCTGTCAGTTTGTTTCATTTACTGTGGTTTTCCTCTAACCCCCACACATGACATTGTGTGCTTTTATCACTACACTTGTAGCCTGTTTCACGTTCTATCATTGATTCCCTGTTGGAGTGTTGTCGTGGAATACTTGACACACATTGGTCAGTGCTCTTGAAGAAGTGTATTGTAACGTTAGATTAGGTAACAACGTATGGGAGGAAAGATGAACAGTTTACATGACTACTGCGAATTTTGGTTGATTTTGATAACAAAAGTAAATAAATAGAAAAATTTACAACACCATACTTAAAAACAGCTATGTGGCCAGGATTTCGGGATTCAGACTCTTATCAGTATTATGTATTTTATATTTACAGGACCGTAGGAAGCGGTAAGGCCAGACAGGCCATGGCATGAGCACTTTTTCATAGCACGTATAGCTACAACTTATGTATTAAAACTTGCTTCTTTCAATACATTACTTTGTGTGTATGCAGTATTTGTAGTTAAAATGGCTGAAGATTCAACACTGAAATTTTTTCTAACGTTTTCTGGAGGCATGCCCCCTAGATCTACCCTAGAAATGGCACGCTTTGCATGCCGGTAGTGTGATTTGCTCGCATCATGTGTCACATTGTTTAGATGTGGCAATTGCTTCCTACGGGAATGATTTAACATTTTATGTATTTCAGCCACTTTCGCTTCTATCTACTCTAACTTAAGACCAATGGAATTCATTACAAGTGATATAAATGACGCGCGTGTTGTTTCCACTAAATATAGCATGAACATAATATTTCAACATCGTGGATTACATTATGAAAAAAAGTTTTAAAAGTTTGCTCAATTCATGAATAGGAAAGACTAGTTCATACATAAATTAATGCACTAAAATCAGCCTAATGCATATTATTTCTAATTTCATACTTATCACAAGCCTCTTGTTTATTATTTAACTGAATAAGTCCGGCTTAGTTTAAATTTCCTAAACATCTGATAAAGACACATCTATACATCCTTGTTTGTTTGTAGCTAAGCACAAAGCTACACACACA